TGTCCATCATCAGCTAGCGAGGGGGGTGGTATCCATCGTCAGCTAGCGAGGGGGGGTGCTATCCATCGTCACCACCTAGAGAGGGGGGGGGTGCTATCCATCGTCGTCAGCTAGAGAGGAAGAAAAAAACGTTGAAAAAATCCCCGGCTGGTGCTGCCGCTGCTGATTGTTTGAACAGGACGCTTCCGCCACCGCTTTAGAAAACAGCAACAGCAGCAGCAGCAGAGGCGACACACCCTCTCGCCCACAATGAGTGTAGAGAGGTGCACAGCACAGCAGTGGTACTACATCGTCTAGGAACGAGCGTGATGTGTTACTGGTTCCGTGCTGTGATGTATGTGTGCCTCTCTCCAGAGCAGAGTCAGAGGCCGCTCCCTCCCGCCGCGTCGCAACACAATAACAACAACCAACCGATGGACCCACAGAGACCCAATCAATATCTCTCCTCTCGCTTCCTCCGCCGAAAGCTAGCAGCAGCAGTAGTATAGGGCACACCCTGCTCCCGTCCCGCTCTCGCTGTGTGGTGTGTGCAACACACGCTGGTTGGTGGGACTCCCTCTCTCTCCAGAGAAAAAAAGGCGAAAAAAAGGCCGGCAGCGTTGAACAACAACAAACAACGGAAACAACAACAACAACATCATCAGCGATGAACCCCAGACCAACCAAACGTTCCCCGCTTCCTCCGCCGTCGCCAACAGCAGTATGTGTGTGTGTCCCGCCCCCCTTGTCCATGTTCCCTGTCTCTGTGTAGTGCGTGTCTTGCCAGTAGCAGCAGCAATGTGTGCAGCACGGCAGTGCGTCGTGGTTTCTTCTTGCTTGCGTGTAGTTTGTTGCCCAGAGAAAAACAAAAATGACGACGCCTCCCGGGGATGCGTCCATGTGACATATATATTTGCACAAACGGTGTGCTATCTCGAGACACCGACCACGGATTGCAAAGGTAGCGGTTGGGACAGCTCGGGCAAAATGTTACTTGTTGTGCGCAAGTTTTAGTTTGCAATTTGGTGCCGAGATGGTGACATGGGCTCGAGTCTGCTGGGATATTTAGGGCGCGCAGACAGACAGACAGACATCAGACAGTCATTGCGTCTTTTTCACGCCCCTGGGCATGAAAATTATTATTTTTCTCGTGCGCACATAC